CTCAATTCCTCCAACTAACTTGGATAAGCATAAAGAAGAATCGAGTGAGGATGAATTTTAGACCGTTTTACGGTATATATCTCCATCCAAACAACCCAAATTTTTATGTGTGAAGAACTACTAATGCGCATGTTATATGTGATCGTTTAGGCTTATGCGCAGATATTTTGATTAAAGATTGTAAATATTGTACAGATTTTTCTCCAATTTGACGTGTACTTACTATTCTGCGGTGTCGAATGCATGCTTCATCCTGGTATTTATTAGTTGCACAGGCCAAGCGGTCTCATGTAATGGATTCGTGGATTTTAAGCTCATCTGGTTGTTTTCGGGATTGTGATTGGTTGGTATACGCAAGGTTCTTTGCATAAAATGTAAACATTTGATCTTATCCTTTACTAAAATGCCTTGAGTGGCTGTTTTCTTATCCATTTTTGAGGTTCACAAAAATATGCGAAATTATAGATGGCTCTGCTGCCAAAATCAGTAGGTGAGTTCACTGATCCGAAATTCTGGAGAAACTTTTTTGCATCAAGGAAGTCACCATTTGAGTGGTTAGTTGCATTGCAAAAATTTTCATTATCATTGCCTCTCTTATTTTTCTAAAGTGTGAAAAATATTTGAAAGCTTTGCAGCAGCTATGCACAGGATGTCCCGAAAGAATGTGCCCTTGCTTAGTCGTCACCAACTTCTTGTTTTATACCCATTTTGAGCCGATTCATTACACAAGGCTGATTTGAACTTGAATTGCCATTCATAGATGGAATTTATACATTTGGCATACATATGCAGTCGAGTTACAGGAAGAATTCGATGGTGTCTTTAGGGCCTTAGTTGAGCACTCACATTAACTTTGTTGCAAACCTTGCTTGAATTTTTTGTTTGAACGAGGCATCCTAGAGAGTCCATAAGTTGCCAGTGATTTTAGAATTATTTCCGCGCCAATGCGAATAGTGTTTCATGGGTTGAATCCACCTACAACTTTATAGTGAGATCCTACCAAAATGGATAGAAGTACATAGTTCGTTCATAATAAAAAAGGGGAAACTTAAATCCAAG